TTTTTTGAGGCCGGGTCATTTTTGACCGGGAACACCACAAGTGTGACTTTGTGCCATTTTGTACAAAATAAAAGCCTTTCAAAACAAACTCCCCGATTAAACATTAAAGTACACTAGTGTGATAAACAGTGCAAATTTTCTTCAGTTTTTACTTAATATTGTGAAAATGATTCATAAATAATGCTTTTTTCACTCAAAAAATGAGGTGCCTACTCTCAGATAAATGAGGCCTACGATTAATCAGAAGCAAATATAAATACAAAACCAGTCCTAAATGAAAGAAAAGAAGTTGACAAAAAGATTGAATCCAATCTTTGGTGATAATATAGCATAATGAGTGATTTATAAGCAATTTTATGAGGCCGGGTCCTTTTTGCTCTGTAAACTCGTAAGTGTGATAGGATTCTGAACACAACACAAGGGTTAAAGAAGTCACGTCTTACTTGTCCAGGGCCTTGGCGGCCTCACGGATACCACGGGCCAGACCGTCGTGGATGAGTGCGGTCTTCAGCACTTCAGGCAGAGCGGTGTTGACATCCATCACACCTCCGGCAGCGATGCTGTCAGTTGTACAAGAGGATGTTATTGGGATGTAAAGAGTCAGGTGTGCACACACGCATTTAACAACCTGCGGCTTTTCAGACTGGATGTCTCACTCATGATTAGAGTGAAGGGGTATCCGACTAAAGATTCAAAGTTCATCACAGCCGAGGTAACCATAAGAAATCACTATCTAATGTAAAACTTAAACGCTATTAAGTTAATTTAGAGGTTAGAGAAATATTTAAGACTTTATTTTGTGGCACAGGAGTATAAATGTGTATATAGAGGTTTATAAATGCAGAAGAACGTCCAATATGTTCTCTGTCTGGTACTTTGGAGAGGAATCCATCAAGATATCAGTGAATTATTTGAATTAAGCCAAACCTGGCACAAAAGTCATTAGGTTAGAACAAAGAGTCATTAGGTTTCTAAACACAAGAGGGAGTACAAAGATTTAACCGCTAAATAAAGTCATTCAGTACACGTTCTCTATTCGTATTAAGTTATGCAGCGATTGCATACTGATGCGAGAACACAATCACTCACCCTTCCTCGGCCATTGTAGATTAGCGATGGATGAGAGGATAGATATCTGAAATAAAGGCATAATATAATCGATATATTAGTATCCATTCCTTAGGATACATCTTAGAGTATTTTAAAGGCAGGATGTTGAATATTTAAAACTGATTCTCTCAGAGATTACAGAAATTTATTCTACCTTTCCTCTGACTGCGGTTAAAGAGGACGTCATAGTGCCGACAACATTGTTTTAAGCTCAAAAGGCCCCGAAGGTGTCCATTTCACTGCCTGTATGGATATCCACGCGGAACTTGTGGCTTTCGGTGTAGTTTACTTATTGTGTGTTATTGTTATTGTGTTTATTATTATTTAGAAAATATATTGCTCGACTACATTTTAACACTTCCGTCTTCAATTTCTGCTTAATCTACGGCGATGGCGCAAACACCTCACTCCCCCACAAGGTGGTGCTGTCTACTCCGTGTATAATTTTGTTCCTCAGCAGCGTTGCTAGATAGACAGTGCCGCCAGAAAGTGTTGACATTCACACTTAAAAATTATAAATTAAGAAATTGTATAACAATAAACTTCGAACAAATGATACTACGGTTTATCTTAAAATGTGAACTTTATGAGCCATATTTGCAACCAGCTTGTGTCAGGATGATTATCATACATTTTGTTGTGCAAACTCGGTATAAAATGCCCCCATGCAAGTTTAGGCATGCCACACGTCTTGGTGTGTGTTTGTGTTTGTGTGAGAGAGAGAGTCTGTGCTTATGGTAGGTGGGGCTGTCAGGTGAACTGTCAAAACTTGCTTTCCTGGTCCTTGAGTTGGCTGAGTTTACTTTGGTTTTAAAGGTTCAAACAGCTTACTGAAATACCAGAATACCAGTCTACTTCAGCAGCCACTTTTATTCTCAACAAAACTTATAGCACGTTTGAAGATGTCCATTACGGTGTATTACAGCAGTGTGAGTGGCTCTAGAGAGGTGTGTATCTCTTTATTTCTCTGGACCTGTCTGGCAGTTGATATTTGTTTTTTGCAACTACTGTATAAACTCATATTTTTAAGTGCACCTACTTTTTTGTGTTAACATGCTGGTCCTGGAGGGTCGGTGTCCTGCAGAGTTTAGCTCCAACCCTAATTAAACTCAACTGAATCAGTTAATTAAGGCCTTACTAGGCATACTAGAAACTTTCAGGCAGGTGTGTTGAGGCAAGTTGGACCTAAACTGCAGGACACCAGCCCTCGAGGACCGAGTTTGGAGACCCCTGTGCTAGACAGTCATCTTATGTCAAATTAGATTAGTGAAGTTAACTCAACAGTACACTTTGTGTATATGTTTGTGTCTGCAGAAGGATAAAAAAAAAAACATTTTAGAAGGTGAAAAACATTATTTCAAGATAATTGAAGTAAATAACTAGTTGTTCTTGTCTCATGTTTTAAAAAAGGAAGAGAAACCAGAGTTTCAATGTGCGTTGTCAGAGGTTCATTGATTTCCATCTCTGTTTCTTCAGGTAAAGCAACATCAGTCTGAGATTTTCCAGTTCCTGGATTCCAAAAAGATCAAGTACTTTGCTGTGGACATCGCAGAAAGCACTGACCTGAAGGAGGAGATGAGGAAGAAAGTGGGAAACCCCTCGGCGATGCCCCCTCAGGTCTTTAATGGAGACAAATACTGTGGGGTGAGTCTCATCTTGTAGCCTAGTTTTTGATACTGGTCTGTAGATCAAGATCACCATCAAGTCATGAACGGTCCGTTGATTTTATATAAAAAAAAAAATTTAAAAAACGGTAGGCTAGCTGACATTTAATTAGAATTATTTTACATTACACACTAAACCATGTTAAATCTATCAAATAATGTGACTTAAGTTCATTATCCATGAGTTTTTCTGTTAATTATGAGTATTATGTCATGATTCACAAATTAAACGTTTCCTGAGAATAAGTCTTTTGCAGTTATTAAGAAAAGCACATCAAGTTCAGACTATGACCTGTAATAAAGCATAAACAGAACATGGAAATCTTCTAAACGAACAATGTGTCAGTATACGCTCCTTGGGTTTTGCAACATGCGTGTTGAACCGCTGAGTCAGTCACTGAGAGGGTGTAAGTGTTTGTAGTGTATGTCAATGCTATTAATTTTGTTGTGCAAACAACACTTGAAACAAAAGAGTTCATATATAGGCACAGTAGACCTGTCAGGCTCGTTCAGTTTCTTCTAAATTAAAACACACCCTTTCAAACACTCCCATCAATTTGTGCTTGGGATGCACCAGTGGTTTCTTGTGATAGTCTGCCACACATGCATTGTGTCTGGATGTATTTTACCAGTAATGCCTGAGTAAATGCTTTAAAATGATCACTTGAAGTGTTCAAATCTTATTCTTCCATACTCATATTTTTATTTGTAAAGACCATATAAAGCTGGTTATAATCTGTGTTTGTGTTCATAGGACTATCAGAAGTTTTTTGATGCAGTGGAGGATGGGAAACCAGAGGCGTTCTTCAAACTCTGAGCTACTATAGACACACTGCACTAATCCTCGTATTTTCAAGATTATATATGTTAAGAAGGTACATATTTTACATCATTAAATGAAAAAAAGATGTTCTGTCAAGCATATCTCTTCTACATTTTGTATCTACAAGTTTACAGTAGCTCTCATCACATTTGACCACTAGAGTGCAGTAATGTCTCAAATACCTAAAATGTCATCACTATTGATGCATTTAATCCACCTGATGCGTTTTTGAGCAGTGATTCCTCTTAAAAGTTCGAAACCCATGACAATAGATTAATAGTTTATTCATTATAGTTTACAGGTAGTGTTATATTAGACCTTCATTGCTATGACTTATCTTTAAAAATCATAATTGATGTCTATCTAAATTTAATTTCAGTTAAATTGTAATATTTTAATTAGTATTCACTATCATTAGTATTCACATTTAAATATCAAAAGCAAAATGTAGGTAGAATTATTTTTTACAATTCTGATTAACCCATTAAAAGGCAATGGCAACAAATGCAAACATTAAACTGGCAGAGATTCAGACGAACAATTTATTGAAAATAAACTATTTGATAGATTTAAATTAAACTGAAACAATGTGACTAAGTTCAGTATCCATGAGCTTTTCTCTTAATTATATCCGTAGTCACAGAGACACTGATTGAACATGGAGTCAAATACTTGGACATTTTAATTTTATTTAATTAATTTAAATGTTGGAGAGACACGTTTTACCTGAACTTTAGCTTCTTAATTAGCTTATTTAGCTTCTTAATTAGCTTTTAAATTAACGTAACACACACATACATATATATATATAAAAAAATTTTTTTTTTTTTTACAAAATTTAATTTGAAGTCAAATAATAATTGGCAGACCCTCTAGGGGTCATGGACTCTCTAATAAAGAATTTTGTCCTGTGTCAAAATGTTTGTTATTTGAACACTGTATCCATCCATTTTTAGTATTCAACTCATGGGTAGCAAACATCTGTATCTATTTATAGAGGAACAACATTTTCTCACACTCTCTACATCAGCCTCTTATGCTAGCTAATGCAAAACTGCCACTTGCAAAGGCATGCTGGGATATCTGGACTGTTCCACTGGACTTTTTCAAAAGTTAGAGTATGTTGTACACACACATTATACTGTATTTGGAAAATTAATCCAGCACAGCTTGCTTAAGCAAAACGGTTTATGATTTAGATATATATAAAAAAAATAAAGACAAATCATTTGTTTTAATTATAGAATGCCACTTGGTTTGATATTTTGTTTTATATGCAATATTATATATATATATATATACAGTGGGTACGGAAAGTATTAGTGAAAAATTTAAGGGGGTCTGAATACTTTCCGTACCCACTGTATATATATATATATATATGCCTAAATCAAGACTCTCTTGAGAAACACAAGAAACCACCATTAAAGAAGCTTTTGAATATACTTTTATTAAAAATTAGATTTTGAAATTATTCAGATAATGAGAGTAAACAACAGTAACTTCATATATACATCAATATAGAGAGGAATGATAAAATGTTACAGAATGTGTGACTATATGTGTGTGTGACATAAACATAATTGTGTCCTGAGAATGGTGTGTGTATGTGCGTGTAAACATACATGTAGTGCTTATTCACGTGGAATCATTTAATGAAAGGGTGGGAGGAGTGAAGCAAGAAGCGCATATAATGAATAGTAAATGAAAATGCAGAGAAAGTAGGTTTGGGAGTGTGTCTGTTTTGTTTAAGGTGGTTTTGGGGGAGAATGGCAGTAGATTGTCAGAAGAAAATAGAGAGTAGACTGTAAATATAAAACATGTTCCACAAAACCGACATTGTGAGTAAACCAACTATTCTCCCCAGTTTTGTATAAGTCACTATATAAGCTACATAAATGGGTGAGCTGAAAATTGAGGCATCACAGTGTGTTTGTTACATGCTACATGCTAACATACCCCTGAGAAGAAAAACACATTTTAACAGACAATTAAAGAGGAAAAGACGAGATATCCTCAAACAAGATAAGTTCATCAGCATGTTTTCCAGCAGAAGGGAACAAAAGGCTGTAGGAATTAGATATGAAATTCCACTAATAAAGCATAAGGTGTTCAAATACTGATTCAGGACCCGTTTTACACTCTGAAAAGCTTTGAAGAGCCATTATGTGTCGTGGAAACACTGAGCTTAGATCAGCGCTGTTATGCTGAGATCTTAATTCAGGTCAGGATTCTATTTCCTGTTTTGAGGCTGTTTTGGTTTTTGGTCTGAACTTCTTTTTACAGCAAGGACAACATTATACCAAATTCTTCAGCTGTTTCCCTACATTTTCTTTTGGCCGTCTGTCTGAGCTCCTTAACAAAGAACGACTTACAAGAGACTTGTACATGCAGCCTTGCATACTTATTATTTTCTTTGTGTAGATTAACAATGTAAGTTTTACGCACACAAACAAACAGGTATAAGTTCACTTTCTATCCCTGAATCGAGTTAAAAAAAGCAGAATAGGCTTTTCATACAACACATGTAAAACAAATGAAACAAAACAACAACGCATATAAATAATTAATTGGCCATAGAAAACCTATGTAATCACCCTGTGTGTGCGTGTGTTTGAATGAGAAGAAGTTTCTTAGGAAAAGCTGGGCTGGAGGGCAGCGTGTGTTTGGCAAAAGCATTGCTGGCAGTGAGGGCTTCAGACCAGGGGACAAGAGTTACTTCACAGGAAAAAGAGGCAAAACCACAGTGTTTCAGTCTAGAAATGTCAATGACATGGTCTACGATTCAGAGTCCTGCAGAGAACAGAATTTAATTCAGTTAGGTGTTAATCCTATTCTATAATCCATAATAATATCACATTAAACCAGTGTAGAACCAGTAACAAAATATGACAAAAAAAAGCATCTTAATAATCAAACATCCACTATGAGAATTACATAATGTGTTTCATAGAATATATTTTGAATACGCTTTATTTTTCTTATTCCATTGGCAAATAGTGTTTTAAAGCATAAATATAACAAAATTAATGCATAAAAAACAAGAAAATAAATGGCCAATAGGAGAAATGTATAAATTCAAGATATATTTTCTGAAAACAGGTTTTATTATCTAATATAAGTTTGCTTCTGAAATAAAATTGTTTTAAGAACTTTTTTCCTTTTTTATTAAAAGACAAGCAGGAGTGTGTTTGTACCTTTACAGGGGGCAAACGGAGGAATGAGAACACTGTGTTCATCTCTTTAGACTGGAAGAAATCTTCATAATCCTGCAAAATGATAAAATGATAATGACTGAGGAGAGTTTTTTAGCATCTGTAACTCAGTATTTTTGTGCTGTTTGTTTTGGATATTGGATATAATAATGACATTTTTATCTGCCATAAATATCAAATTAAACAAGAGAACCTGCTGATTCAAATTAAATAAATTATGCCATTTAACATAACAATTAACAAAATCTCAAATCAAATTAGAAACCAGAAATGAATATATATATATAATATTTATATTATATATTTATATTACAAAACAAAAGCACCTTGGTCATACGTTCTTTTAAAGGCAGAGTAAGTGATTTCTGGTAGCCAATGTTGATATTTGAAATCACCAAAACAAACACGCCCCTACCCCAAAAGGGTCTTGCCCCTATTTTGATAGCTCCGCCCCACATATATGTACGCAACCCAGGCAACGATTAGTTCTGTGAAACAAAGCAAAACCAATGTTACACTGTGTCTACGGACGTGAGCGGTGCGGCGCAACAAATCCCCGACAGAAAACTGCTGCCGGGTTCTATTTATGACGTGCTGACACAAATTTCAAATGGTTTTCAACGGTCGTTTGATCGCGTCCAGTGTAGGCAGACTTTAGCTGTTGTAGACACGGTGTTACTCACCTATTCAGAAGAAACAAAGCAACCTCGGCGTCCGATCGCAGGCCTCCGCTCCTTGAGTTCTCTCCAGCGCTGGAAAGCTGATCCGATATTTACACGGGTCCTACTTCTTGCCTTATCGTTCCGCAGACGTTTTCCTCTTTTGTTTTTTATCCGCTATCTCTATCTTTCTGTCGCTGGCTCGGCTAATGTCCGTCCCATGCACTGAACGCGCTCTCCTCCACATCACGAGTAGACACGCCCCTTATTGCTGATTGGCTACAAATTTGTTTTGCGATTCGGCCCGAATCAGTTTTCTAAAGTGTTTTTGAAAAATCACTCACTCTGCCTTTAAAAATACACAAGGATAGTTCAAATGTGTCTTGCCCTCCAATAGTGTCGAACAGTAAATCACTCAGGATTATTTTGAGATTAGATCGGTTGGGCACTCAGCAAAATCCAGCCACTTCCATGAGTCATTCACAAAATATACAAACCTTACCATAACTCAAGTGTTAAGTGATGAATCATTTCTAAATTAAGATTCAAACTCATAAATGTCTTTGTGATTCTTCAGCCATTTATGGCAAGAGAGTCACAGTGGCATATTACACTACAACTCTCATTTAAAAAATAAGTGTGTGTGTAGGTGTGAATGTGAGTAATAGGGTTTGTTTTGCCTGCAAAATCTCTTTTTTGAAACTTTAAAATGTGTTTTTGGAAGAATCAGAGGCATGAAAATGCCTTCCCCCTTTTCACTACCTTATATAGGACATCTCATGCTTTAATGTGACTGGATATATAGACAAAACATAATAAATACCATACTAGAATGTAGGCTGGAAAAGAGAATGGTGCCACACAGTTTACACCATGGATCTTTGTTTACATATATTGATTTTTAATAAACATCCTCTCAAACCAACCCAATGTGGACTCATTGGCCAGACAGAGAGCTTTTAGCTTATCATTGATTTAAGTGTCTGAGAGAAACAGAGTATTACTTCAGCAGAATCCCTCAGACATCTTACAGAACCAATTAATACGAATTAATTGAGGTCTGTGGTATACTGATGAAGATATAACCAATGTGCGAGTATCTAACTATAAATTCGCTTCTGGTAGAAGATTATTGGTTAATCTTTGAACAAGTTAAGTGAGCATGTTTAAATAGGAGAGGGTACATCACCAGTCCAGTGTTTGATGTAGCAGGCATATGAATTAGTTTCTAATTAAAAGAATTGATGACTCACGCCGCAGTACTCGTCTCCATTGAAGATCTGAGGGGGGAGAGGATTGCCCTTTTCAGGTCGTTTCTCCTCAGGAATATTCCGGTACATCCAGAGCCTCTGATCCTCCAGCATGGTGATGTCAACCTCCTCAAAGCTGATCCGGTTGGCCTCCAGAAAGCCCACGATGGCCTGCTGACGTTTCTTCACCTGAGGAATCACACAATGAATGATCTGTTTTATTAAGGTTATTAAAGTTTACTCTCAAATGTGAATATAAGCATTTATGAGTGTATGTGTATGTATGTTTCATTGCGCTTTTGAGTGTCCTTTTGTGTGGTCAAAAAGGTTATTTAACATCTGTTCTTCTTCTGGCGTCCTGTGTTTCTAAATCCTTCCATATATTAACATTAAATAAACATTTTGTCCTTATCTTACCCACCTGTCTGTCACCCTCTGCACTCAGCTCTCCGTTGTACTGTTTGAAAACTCAATAGTTCCATTCCAGTGCAACAATGCCAAGCGAAGTAGATTTTCCAAAGCATAAACACGTCTTTCTTTAAATTCCCAGCACTTGTAGTTAATGAATGCATTAAGAAGTTGCACACAGAATGAAAACACTTCTAAAAGGATAACATTCCTTTTATAAAAAAAAAAACACAGTAGACTTAATTGATGCTTCAGTTTTAACTATAAAAGTTGAACACGTTTTCACATTTTAGCTAGAAAAATCAGGTCTAAATCATGTAGCCTATAAAAAGCTAAGAAAATGAGGGTTAATTCTGTCATAATTTACAATTGTTTCAAAACCTTTCATTACATGAAAATATAATATTCTTTAAAAATAAAAAAATCACCTTTTGTGTTTCACGGAAGAAAGAATACAGATTTGGAACATCATGAGGTTAAGTAACAGGGTTTTCATTAACTAAAACCATAAAAAAAAGTAATTACTTGAAATAAAAGAAACATTAACCTGAATAAAATAAAATATAAAGAACTATAATAAAAACTACTTAGACATATTAAAAAACTAATAAAAATGAAAAATTAATTAATTAATTAATTAATTACACTTAAAATAAAACAGAAACTCTGAATTATTTGTCTACAGTATATCAATAAAATATTGTGTCGATGACAGAATGTTCATTTATGGTTGAACTATCCCTTTAAGATAAAAATGTGTGCGTACAACCTTAAATCTTTAAACTATTAAACACCACACACACATAAACACACACTTAATCTGACGGATTAGCTATATGTATACCTTTAGCTGATGATATGCATGCATTATGCCTCAACGGGCTCCAGGACTGACACTTCTTCAGTCTGCCTAACTACAATGAGGCCTGATTTCAACAGCTGTTTGAGAATGTGTGACTTACAAAAACACACACACCTACACACCCTAGTTTGGCAGTACTACAGTGTGCTGTCCAGAGAGAGTGTTTTTGGACATATCCACATTGTGGAGGAGGACAGATGGAGTACAAAAAGTCCCCTGCCTTACCTCACCTCGCCTTGCCGATCTTTGTCTCTCTCTCTGCTGACTTTGCAGAGCGAGTTGCTGGGCGGCCACTGCATGCAGAGCTGTTCAGATGAATTCTGTCACTAAACACACACACATACACACACTTGTGCACATAGAAAGCACAACTGAATAAAGATTCATACTCAGTGATGCGCTGATGAGTGAATCACACATCTCTCACACACATAGGCCTATATATGTGCATGTTTGACTGCAAGAAAGAGAGTGAGATTCTTTGTAAAGGTAGAGCAGCTCTCCATTAAACACTAAGCTCTGTCTGTGCTTTTTAAAAGCTCTATAAAATTTCTGCCCTGATAAACAGAGAGCAGGACAATAGCAGCTCTAGCCTTGTGTCGAACCCGCACGGCCACACAATGCAGCTATTGTTTTATTCTCAAAACAAAATACTGAATACATAGACATTCTCTGTCTATATGATTCGTTTCAAGAACTCCTCTTCTCTTTGTCTGCAATAACCTGTTAGATAAGATTTCTCTAAATACTGTCTATCATTAAGTTACATCATTCCACCAGTAGGTGGCGAAAAGTGACTGTCTTTTTGAGTGTCTCGTTTCTTCATTCAACCGATTCGTTCAATGACGCTGATTCGTTCAGAAAGGAAACAAGTAATGCCGAGTTCACACTGCACGATTTTCAAACTCGTCGGATCGCCGTTGTTTTCACACTGCGTGACTATCTGGGGTAGCATTCAGTTGCTGCTGTGTTCACATTGCACGATGGATCGGCGACAGGGGGTTTCACACTGCATGACTTCACTATAGGAAGAATCGCCGACAGCTCTGTCTGGTCCGCAAACTACGTTTCACAACAAAACACACGCGAGAAGTGATAAGGAACTAACGCGAGAACTCGCGTGCGTCAGACCGGAGTTCTCCTTTGTCGGCGATTTCACAAAACCTGTCGGCGAGTGAAAAATCGGGCTAATATCGTGCAGTGTGAACTCGGCATAAGCTGTCTTTATGATCGAGTCATTGAATCATTCGTTTAACCGATTCGTTCAAAAACGCGGATTATTTTTTTTCTGCATTAAGGAATGAACTAGCAAGCAGGGGTGCGTTTCCAAAAAACAAATATGGTCGCAAGTTTTATCGTTACCAATAGAGTTCAATGGAATTTACCACCATAATTAGCTAAGGATGCTTTTGGGAAACGAACCACAGAGCGATTCTGCCGCTGTTTTGTTTGGAGCTATTTTCGCTGGCGGAGAAAAAACAGACAAAGTAACACAAAATTGCACCTAAAAGGCAAGTTACTCAATATTAACTTATGTTTTCTTGAAATGTTGTATAAAAGCAATATCATAATTCTGCTGTTTTTCCTAATTCCGTGCTGCCTCGTGACTAAGGCAGATTCAAAGCCATATTCGGACAGCACTTTTGTTTGATTGATTTTCATTTTTCAAGCACACACACACACACAAAATGCTTGCAATTTAAATTATTATTCAAACGTATTTAGCAAAAGTGTCCAATCAGTGTTATTTTAGTATTAGTATATGCCATTTCAGTATTCATTAATGTTTTTATATAGCTTTATTATTATTATTATTATTAATTTTCAGTTTTCTTTTAATTTTAATTTAAGTTTTAGAATTGTGTTTTGTGCTTTTGTCATGTTTATTATTTTTTTTTTTATATATTTCTATTTAGCTTTAATTTTAGTTTTAGTAGTAATTTTAGTAGGCTATTAATACACTGATCTATAATAGAGAATAGTCATTATATAGATCAGTGACTTAAGCCAGTGGCTTCAACTTAAACTTATTTATTGTTAGTTTCCAAGGCAATATTACTAATGGTTAATTTTTTTACGTTTAAATTTTAATCTAATATTGATATTTTATTGTATTTCAGCTTCATCACATTTACCAAAACAATAAAAAAAACTGGTGTCCAGTAACAGGACAGTTTACAGGGGTAAAACCGTATTTGGTTTGTCATGTGATCACGAGCCGACCTGCTCCATTCAAATTACTTATATTAGGCTACTGATATGATTTGGATCTGAATGTACATCATTTTAAACATTAAGTACATAGAATTTTTGCATGTGTAAAACTTTTTAAATTTTAGTAAAAAAGACAAAGTGCACTTTAAAAGAAAGACAAATCCCATGAGTGTGTGTCATCCTGTTCTGAATCAATGCGCTGAATGCACTCTTACCGCTCAGACTTTCTTAGCACACTCAATTACTGGGCCTATATCACTGTAGAACCTGTCTCTCCACTAAGCTCAGCTGACTGAAAATCACTCAGTGAGTGCTCTCAGTCACAGTCCTTCGCATGCATGTGTAAAGTGCAATGGTTGGAGGTGGATGAGTGTAACAAGTGGAAAAGGTTAGTCAGGGTATGACCTTTATAATTGGCCAAAGCTTACGAGAGCTAATGTGAATCAGAGTGTTTATGTAGCTGTATAAGTAAAAATATTAACCCTCACTTATATGATCCTAAAATCTTTAAGTACAGTCTTTAACTACAGATTGGTTTCATCAGCCATCACTTGCTTCACATCAACATGACAAAACTAATTATATAACAAACACATGCAAACTGAGTGAACACACACACAGTAAGTCTGTCCACCCATCATGTGCCAGTTATTGACTGAAACATTTAATTTTTCCTTTCTGTATTGATCATCTTGTTTGCCATGCATAGAAGAATGTGAGCGTAAAAGAGATGTGTGCCTATATGAGTGCAGTGTGTGCTGAGATCACGGAGACTTAAAAATAGCTCTTTTTGGGAAAACAATCCGGGTCTTGTAGAAATAAGGAGATAGCGGAAATCGGAGCATAACTAATTTAGGCTGGTACCTCATTCTGGTACTATTAGGTTATAGTGCTGCCTCTCTATCTGCTAACATCCAAAAACACATGCTTCATCTCCATATCAAAGGTGTCAAATACACAGTGAGTCACTATACAAACATCATCTGATAACCATCAAACACCAAATGAATGACATTACAGGAAAATATGAATAGTCACCCCTCCTTCCTCCCAATCCCTGTTCCTAGACTGTGATCTCCTCATTTAAAGAACTAAAAATCAATGTCACTGGACCAGCCTGCTAAAAGGCTGAAATATAATCCCAGCTCTGAATGAATCAAGACATTTCTTGTGCTTTCCCTGCAGGCTGTGTAACAGAGTGATTAAACCGAGCTGATCTGCACGCCAGTGATTGTGGCATTAGAGTTGGCAGTGGGTTGGCTTTTTCTGTAAACATGCACTTTGTCCAACCTCCTGGGGTCGACAGTTCCGGCGGCGGAACTTTTTGCAGATTTGAATGTTGATAGCGAAAAGAACTAAAATGCTCCTTCATACTTGATCGTACATATAAGAGTAATACAGCATTTAAATCTGTAAAGGGTCTACTTTTATTTGTGTACACTCACAATATCAACAAAATATTGTGCTTTTGCAAAATAAAGAAAATATATATACAGGGTGTGCTTTTAGCCGTCTCATTCTCCGCGCATATCTTTTTGAAACGCGTCACTAAAATGAACAAACTCAAAAGCACAAATGTCAGGGCATGTCAAAACTTTTCCAGGCCCCAAAACACCCTCGGACCCCAGAGGGTTAAGCTTTATGGCTGTTTGCAGTGTGCCGAGGTGGACAACAGCTTTGGATTATCTCAAATACAGCATAAACCACATCTAATAACCACTGAAAAGCATTTGATAGAAATCATTGCTGAATATATAGATCTGAACTGAGTTTGGCAGTGGTTATGTAATACATTTTAGAGTCACAATAAGTCATATCTATTCAGAACATTCTGCACTGTGTGGCTTGAAAACAGCCCCAGCTTTAGGTGTGCACTTGGCACCAAAATGTAATATAAATGTAAAATACCAAAATGTACCACAGTGATACCCTGATACCATGGTAATACCGTGTGCTTTTTTTATTTTACTTTTTTTTTTATTCTCAATTATTCTTGGAGTGCCATGTTAATACCATGAACATGGACAATCAGATCCATGGTTTATGTTAAAAGTACCATATATTGCCATTTGATTCAATCCCTGTACCATGGTATCGCATGCAAGAGAGGGTGGGTTTTCCAGGATGGGTTAAGTTCATTAAGTGGCCCGGGCCTACTTGAAAATAAACGCCAAAAAATGTATTCTTATTGACATATTCATATATAACTCAATGCACACAAAAACCTTACTGAGTGCCATAAATGTATCAAGTGAAGTGATTCATATAAATCTATAATCGAAGACATTCTTACATTATCTATGTAATGTGATATTTAAATAACTGTTATATAGAATAGATTATAAAATTACAGCTCACAGAATAAAAATTAGCTGTCGTTTGATGTCATTTCTGGTAGTCTCCAGTTTTACAATACGCAACTCTGAAATGCGCGGTGTAAACATGTTACTCACCGCGACAGACCCGGACGAGGAGGCGATATACACTCTGATGACCATCCTAATCCTCACTTGCCCTCTCGCGGAAGAATGAAGGCTGGGAAATGTTGCGCTTTCTCTTTCTATAGACTTCTTTGGACCTGCGGTGACGTCACCGTCAACCTTTGAAATTAAAGTGAGTGCGCGCGCCCGGTGATCTATAATAAAGCCGCTCGCCCTCCATCAGTGCGCTTCACTCGGGCGCTTATCCACTGGCTCCAGATCAAGACGTGAATCATGGGAAATGTAGTTTACATATCCTACAAAAAACTAAGGCTATCCTTGTGTTATTATTTATCCGATTATCATATGTAAAATACCTGAAAAGCTATGTAAATCCTCCTCTCAAGCATATATATTAGCCTACTGTCAGAGTTAGGATGTTGCTGCGAAGTCACTATGTTATTATAATGGCATGATTAGACAAATTACTAAATATAAGGAAATATAGGGAAACATTGTTGCGTTTGTGTAGGCTACATAGGCTATCAAAAGGTTTTGCTTCAGTTGGTTTTGCTTAGACATCAATATTGTGACCCACAGTATTGTACAAAAACAAAGCAAAATGTCCTTCCTTGCATGTTCTTAAAACATTGAAACTTATAAATATTACCAAGAACGATAGGACCACCAGCATGCAAAATTATTGACATGACACTGGATTACTGATACTAAATGTCACTGCATTTTATTTTATTTTATTTAGATATTATTGTTTTGTCATTTGCATTTAGAATTGTTTGCACCTGCCTAAATATTTATGTATATAATATAAAATTATTTTAAATCAACGGGACACTTGAATGTGACTTTATTTTGCTAAGTGTCAGTTTTATATTTTTTATATTTTATTTAATATTATATTTAGATAGTATTTATTTGGTCGTTTACATGTTCGTTCTTACTACTTTCAAATATATTTTAAATCTAAAATATTACAAATCAATGGGACACAAGTTTTATTATTTTGATTTTATGTAGATATTTATTTTATCATTTTCATTTAGCATTGTTTCTGCTGGAAACTGATATTTTAACTATAATAATTTTTTCATCATCTATTGCATATTTTATCTATCATGTGAGAGTTATCACTAAGTGCTAATACCAATTTGATTCGAAACTCCCTTTTTTTTATATATCTTTCTGACGGGATTTTGCTCCTATTTATAGTATTACCGACGTCTGACGCCTGTCTGTCAGTGTAATATCCATAGATATGTATAGGCTACATTTCTATGGTAATATCAGCCGTGCTCAACAAGTGGTGATGGGCAGGGCCGCGCACGTTGCCATGGCGAAGCGTCCCTATAACAGCAGCAGCAGAAGGCGAGGCGTGGATTCAGAGATTTCACGAACTCCTTCAGTAAAGCACATTTTCCTCTTCGAAAGCTACAATCTCCGCCAGACTACGCTTGATTAAAGGACAGACGACCAAACAACCGCATTCGCCCTCTCTTTAACGTATCGGATAACGTTTTGCTAATCGTTTGGCGTCGTCTCTACGGTAGAGAGTGTTGTGTGTTGTCCTAGCTGCACGATATAATCCCAGCTAGCTCGTCATGTAGCTGGCTAGCGAGTTTGCGAGCCGTTAATCGAGCCACATTATGAAGAAACTGACTATATAGATATGGATACTTAGAATGGCAAGAAACTGGTAAGTAACGTTACTTTTTAAAATGATTTCACGCGCGTTGTTGCAGTGTACGTTACGTTCAGCGTTTGCTATTGTTTTTGTCACTCGGAAAACACAAAGTACGAACAACCAGTAGTAAACAAGAAACACTAGCAGCTTCTTAATTGAAGCAAAGCCACACACACACACACACGTATTAAGATGCAGCCTTAAATTGTTTTTTTTAATGAAGACACGTTGACGCTTTTTTATTGTTTAAGGACACCTGTAGTTGGACTTGTTATATTGTTAAATTACTTATATTTCTGCCTTCGAAAATCTCGTTTGTTATGATATTTGGCAACAGTAACTATCATGTCTCCATTATTGTATGTTTATCACAATATTATGTTATATATTTCTGAATATAGCCTATATATTTGTATATGATGACTTTAGGCTCCTATTTACTCAGCTTTGAGTCAGTTTTATAGGAATATCAACCAAACTGACATTTGTTGTTGTTGTGGTTACTAATTCCATTCAAACTGGCCTGACAAGTGCAGATGGGTTCAGTGCTTGATGCCAGTGTGTCTATAGCCCTATTCGCACGGGATTAGTATTACCTGGTGACCTCCAGTCATTTGTAATAATTGCGGAGGTTGTCTGTGATCTTAATCCCGTGCGAATCGGCCATGTCTGTAATTTGTAAAGTAAAAATTCCCCCGCAAAAGACCTACCATATTTCGCCGAACACCGGGGGGTAATTTCAAAATCACACAAGGTCTCCAGATAATACTAATCCCGTGCGAATAGGGCTTTATAGATGTCCAAAACACTGTGTAATTGGCTCCTCGTTGGCAATTTAAAAATGTTTTGTCATTAGACTAAATGAAAGAATGCGTAAAAACACTCTTAACTAACGCTATTGTATTAATTTTACATTTGCATAGAATTCCTTACCTAAAGCCAAGACAGGTCCTTGGCAGAAAAAAAAAAAATTCAATTACTAATTCATTCAGATCTAATTGATTAGGATTTGTTTATTATTATTAGTAGTAGTAGTAGCATTTTAGGCTGCAGGTAGCAAATAGCGCTGATATTTATTTGATGAAGGCCTTATAAAACTCAAGATTTCCTTTATGCAGATATTTTGATATCAACTTTAAATATTTGATACTAGCTTCAAAGAATTTGTTTCTTTTTGCAAAAATTAAGATGTACTGGTACCTCTCAATGGGTGTCATAACCATTTTATAAAAAAAAAAAAAAAAAAAGAGGGAGGTGAAAGGTGAGGCAATAATTGAATGTGTTTAGTATGCCATTAGGCTCAATCTCCATGGTGATGGTGACCAGAAGGATATCAGGATTCTGCAGGTTCGGGGACAGAAAGAGGAGGACTTGGCAGTAGCCTTACAAAAGGGTCATAAATCTTGCTTATTTTATGATGACACAACAGATATGCTGTAGCTCATTTTTGTCTTTTATCCAGCTCTTGGTTTGTTGTTCTTAGTGACACTTGGTGATTTCTTATTCATACTCAACTTAAGATCTTCATCAACTATTACACTTCACAAACACAATAAATGCCCTAATTTGATAAGAAAGTGTCTGGTTAGAACATAATGCAATCATACAAGTTTAATTTGCACAAACAAAGCTATTTATCTAAATGCCTTAGTGTTTAAGATTTGCTCAGTTATGCCTAAATAAGAGTAATGTTTGTAATTTTTTGACTGAATACATGATATGTGTTAGTGGCTAGACTGTATCCCCAGCCACATTACTAGATGAGAATTAATAACACGCTGCTGTTGTTAATGAGCAACAAACATGATAGTGACTTGATGCAGTCTTGATGAAGCCTCTCAGACATCTTGAGTGTTTAGTGTCTGGTTTTATGTCACGATTCGCTGAAGGCTCACACACAATCTAATTTGCAAACATACCGTGCCATAGCAATCATGCCTTTTCTGATTTGTGTGTTTGGATGTGTGTGTGCGCTGCTTATTAATTGTGAGTGAAGCATATATTCAGTCCAGTCTCAATCTGATCTGTCTCGATCATTTTGAACTGAATTGCAGGGAGAGACATGGACTCACATGAGGATAATCGTGAATCAGAGCACAGCCGATTGTCTCACCATAGTGATGGGAAGATCTCAGAATCTCCTTTTCAATCTGAGAAACAGGAGAAATACAAGAAAAACATCAAGAGCTCGGCTGGGGATCATGTGCGAACCAGAACGCGAGAGCCGGCCAGAGATCCAGACCGTGATCGGTGTTCGGATGGAGAGCGTAGCAGTGCCTCATTCTACTCGGATGATTATGAAAATGTCTCGCACTCGGATCGGTCTCTCTCGCCGTCAGCCTCTCCGTCTCCACAAAGAAGAGGGAGGTCTAGGAGAGTGTCCAGCAGCCCCTTGCATCGAGCAGGTATGCACACACATGTTACAGGCAAACACACAAGTTTGAAATCACATTGAAAATCTAGGAAGAATAATCTAATTCAAACCTATAGATTAACAGGATTTTTTAGGATTTTGAAAAAATAAAAACAAAGAAACTTTATGATTTAAAACAAAGAAGAAATATTTAAGATTCTGCATTATATCTAGGTCACTAATCGAATAAGTACATTTGTAACGCTGATAATGTGAACTCCTTAACATGATCATTACAATTTGCACAAACCTGTGGAGTTCATGTAACTTGAGCTCTTTGTAAAATCTTGTTTGCTTCTCCTTTTCACTCATCATCATAATAGAACAAATTCATCCGAAATTAAGAAGGGCAAATCATTTGTGTACACCTTCTGAAGCATATGAAATTAGTCCGATGTCTCCTCTTGTCCACCAATTACAGGTATAATGTAATTAACATAACATGATGATCAAGGCCATCAGCAACTGAATTCTGTAGTGATTGTGCATAGCCAGTTTTTTTTTTGTTTGTGGCCAATCATGTTTCTTGAGACACTTTGATTGCTGTTCAACCCAGGATCTGAGTGATGGGCAGCAATGTGATTTTCTCACTCGAAAGAGAAGTGTGATTCACTTCTCACGAGAGAGCTAGCAAGATCCAAAACTCTTTTGCTAAGAGTTAAGAGATTGAAGTTTATGAGGAATTTAAACGCATTTATACTGAAGAAAGTACTAAAGGACAAATAAAAGAAATGATCTTGCTCTATCAGTGCAGTCAAAAATGATGCATGTGAAGTTTAGATAGTTAATAATATACAGCGATAGAGACTCGATATACAGCGATAGACTTGAACATGTCACATTTAGTAATTTTTAAAGCGTTATCTATTGATTCTACAGCTTATTTATATAATATGATCTGTATATATTAATATTAAGTTAAAATTAATGCTCTATAATAATTGTTAAACTAAAATTGCTTGTGTAATGGATTAATAATAAAATAAATCATATAATAATTATATAAATCATATATAATCATATAAAATAATTGTAAGTAATTATCATTAAAGCCAGACAAATTTGTAAAAAAAAAAATTTTTTTAAAGGGGTCCTATTATGCGTTTTCACTTTTTCAACTTTAGTTAGTCTGTAATGTTGCTGTTTGAGCATAAAAAAGATCTGCAAAGTTACAAAGCTCAAAGTCCAGTTCAAAAGGAGATATTTTATTTAACAGAAATCACTTTTCAAAAACTACAACGAACGACTCGTTTGGACTACAACGCATATTTTCCGGGATTTGTGATATCACAAATATCGACGAATGGGACGAGACCTGGTTGAGCTGCACTAGAGAAGGCAACGAGTGTTATCACTATGTCGGAGACACGCTAGCTTTCCCAAGGCAGATGAACTTAGAGTGGTTACAATCATCCGGGTTTAAATCGCGCTCAAATTAATTTGATTTTGATGCAATATTTACACTGAAGCTAGCAGGCGGCTATGATAAGGGGCATGACATTTCCCGAACAGCGCCGGTGAAAAATAATGTGTTTTTCGAACAACCTAGTATGAGAGCCCGTACTAGTACCGTACCCCCAAAACAAAATCAAGACTTTGTAAAAGAGCATAATAGGACCCCTTTAATTTGGAGGAAGATAAACTGGGGGAGTGACTTTTTTGCATCAGACATGTCACTTTGCTCACATCTGATTTCAGTTCAGTCTCTTTCAGTTTGAGATCTCTTACCCAGAACATAACCTGCCCAGGAGCAGGATAGCTGTGGAGTTACTATGGCAATGAACAACGCTAAAGCCAAGCCACTTTCATGGTACCTAAAACCCAGGATTGGTGCAAACTCAACTGAAACTTACCTGGCTAGCCAGCTAATCCGGCTTCATGGTACAGGCCCCAGGTCATAGTTCACTCCAAAAAGTAAAAAATATAGTAAATACAAAATAAAGTAGCCTATATTTTGCTTAAACAATATGAAGCTAAATTTGAGGAACAAGATTTTTGTATTATAACATTATTTTCTTCACAGTTAAGCACATTTCACAAACAATTCTAAATCCAGAATGCAAAAAAAAAAAAAAACTTGAAAAATAAAATGTTAAAAATAAAATAATATTAAATATTAATATAATTTACAAATAATATAATTTAAATGTAGATGTGATTAATTGTCATAAAAATGTCATGATGCAACACATCCTATCGATCCTAAAAATAGGTTTCAATTTCTTTGTGCAAAATGTAATTTCATGTTTGTTTGTTTTTCATTTTGTTATTTGAAGTAATATATAATTTGGATATTAACCTCTTGAATAGACTGAAGCATCTTTTAGAGAATTAGAGAATAACTGTTGTGTTCTGCAGTACCAATAATGACCAGCAGATTGCACAAGAGACATTTAGCATCAAGTGACATGAATGGAAAACTGCTTCAGAATTTTTTTTTTTTTTTGAAAGAAAGAAATTAATACTTTTATTCAGCAAGGTTGCATTAAATTGACCAAAAGTGACAATAAAGACTTTTACATTGTTTCAAATAAATGTTGTTCTTTTGAACTTTCTATTAATCAAACAATCCCCAAAAAAGTAAAAAGTAATGTTTGTGTTTCCACAAAAATATTAAGCAGCATAACTATTTTCGACATTAATAATAATAAGATAATAATGTTTCTTCTCAAATCAGCATATTAGAATGATTCCTGAAGGATCAGGTGACACTGAAGACTGAAATTTCAGCTTTGCCATAACAAAAATAATTATGTAAGTACTATTATATGTACTTATATTGGTTGTTCTTTTCAGGTGTACGTAAAGTTGTGTCATGCCGTCATCCGCCCCTCTCCCATCATCCTCAGCAGTGGTCAAGAGGCATCCGATCCCAAACTTTGAGTAAAGATGCTCCATCCAAAGAAGTGGACCCAGTCACCAAACGCATGCTGTCTGCACGTCTGCTAAAGATCAACGAGTTGAAGAATGCATTGTCTGAACTGAGGCTGCATGCAGACGAGTTGCAACGTGAGAACCGTTTACTGCGACAAATGCAGCTGCGGCAAGAGAAAGCTCTGCATCACTACAATGACACAGAAAGTGAGATCTCGCAGCTGTTGTCTCGTCACAACAATGAGACTCATGTACTGCGTGAGAGGCTGAGACGCAGTCAAGAGAACCAGCGCACAGCTGAGCGCAGCCTCAGGGAAACGGACGCCCAGCTCCAGCACTGTCGAAGCCAGCTACAGAAACTGCAGCAACTCGCAGATGACCAGAATCTTGGAGAGAGGGAGGGACTCTCGCGAAAACTAACGTACACTCAAGGCAAATTGCAAGAAAGTGAACGCAGAGTGAAGGTAAAAAAAATTACAATCAAGCACACAGTGCAGGGCTCAACAATAAGGAATGCCCCGCTGTCCGAGGGCGAACTGTTACTTGTTGAGCTAGCACTATATCTTACATGTCTATGCATTTTTATGCCTTGCAAACTTAAACATTTGGTTGTGAATTCTGCTTGTCAACTTTTCAAACTTGTCACCAAGGTCAAATTATCTACTGGCTAAGAAAGTAGATAATGTTAAAATTGTAAGAATGACTTGTGTATTATTAGTAAGAATATTATTATATTAGTAAGAATGGGTTGAAAATTTCAAAGCAATGAGTGATGTTTGACCATGTATGTCATAGTTCCCAGTAAAAGTGTTTATGAATTTATGGTTTCTTGTACAATTATAATGTATACATATTTTTTCTTTTTAAAGAAAACTAAATTAAAACTAAGTTAGAAAACTAATTTAAAATGTTCTCATCAAATTTTGTCTGAAATTAATAATAATAAATATTTTTTTAATTAATTATAATTTTATTATAATTAATTTAAATAATTATCAATTATATAATAATACAATAAATATTAAATAATACATTTCACTTTTAAAATCTAAATACAACATTTACACCTTTAATTTAAATTTATAAATCTGTCATTTTTTTGTGTGTGTGTTGAGGCCACTGAAATCTCTGGAAATTTTCCCTGTAAAAGTGTAATAATAATCAAGATTGAATGTTGCCCTAGCACTCAAAATGTGGTTTCACACTGAAACACATCAGACACCAGTCCCTTAAGATGATGTCTTTGCATAAGATATAAGTGAAATCTTTCTGCAAACCTTCTTGTTTTCTTTATACGTTTACTTTTTCCATTCTTATGTTGTTGGATAAATGAGTTTGAGCCATTAAAATGCATACAGCAGCTGTTACCAGAGGAAATTAACTTTCTTTTAGGGCTATGGTTGATTATAATGACTTCATCCATCATCATGCTGTCAATATGTGTTTGTCTTTTTATGACTGTGTGTGTATAATGTGTGTAATGTGTCATCAGGAATTGGAGAAGAACATGGAGCTGAGCAGTGGGAGCTTTCAGAGGCAGCTAGCTAATGAGAGGAGGAGAACTCACAATGCACAACAGGAAGTTAAAGCACTACAGGAGGAAGTGGAGAAACTTTGCACTAAACTAAAGGTTCCAAGGTTCCAAACACCCACAAACCATATGCGAAGTTAGATTTTGATTCATTTAATCACAAACCTATCATGCCATGCTAATTTTTTGCATTTTATATCAGGAGAAAGAAAAGGAGATGGATGTTCGGAACATCTACGCTAACAGGATGCTAAAAGCTTCTTCCAGAAAAGAAGCAGAGAATGGCAGCAAGCGAAAAGGTAGATCAGCATTTGTTGATAGGCTCATCTAAGTGCCATTACACGGCTGTACTATGCACCTTCCTCCCAGGGCCTTCTTACACGCTTAAACATTCTGTTCATAATTATTAATAGCAGACAGGTAATTACTCCATAACAAACATCTTCCTGTGGTGATTATATTCCCATGAGATTCACTAGTGACTCCAGCTTTAATTACTGTGGTTCTATGGATTAGATGTATCAGATTAGATATGTTTGAAGAGATGTTGTAGGGGCTCTAAAAGGTACAGTAGAACATTATGAATGTATATTTGTGTGCCTGTAATCTATGCGTGTTGTCACATGTTTGTGTTTGTATATGTGTTGAAGGCTCCAATACAACCAGCACTAAGGCAGTACAGACAGAGGACAGGACGTCCTCACTAGACTTCCCATCGCCGCCTCCAACTCTTACCAATGAACTCCCACCTGATGACCAGACCGATGATTACCTCTCTCTGAAGGCACGTATAATCTGCTCAATAAAGATCTAAATTATGTCTCTATTTCATGAAATTGTGATTAGCTTCAGTTTGTGATGTCATTACTGTAATTAGCCTAATGTTTAATATAGCTTTGTTTCAAAAACTAGAGAGCTGCTTGTTGTCTTAGACAACAACTCGCAAACAGCACTCCATTTAGGAGATTTCAGTAGATTTTGAATAGTGTAATACTCTAATAAGAATGAAAATACATCACACACAGATAGTGGGTAAAGTAATGCATTTTCATTTACTATTATTATTTATTAACTATTTTCCTTTTTTTTTTTTTAATTGAATGATTGCTAAATAATCAAATAAAAAATAAATAGATATAAATAAATAATTAGCAAATTCCTTTCCCTCTGTCTTTCTCATTCTGTTTTATCACCTAGCGATCCTTTTAGTTAGCTCACATACCCATGAATTTCCTTGTTAATTAATCTCTTGAGTAATTTTTAATTATTGACTTTCAGGTTCAAAAGCCTACTGTGAATCACAGGGTAAAAAAAGATTGCCTTTGAATATCTGTCCTTCTGTATCCCAGCATGCAGCACACGATAGAATAGAATGTAGTTCATATTCTGGCTCCCAAAGCAAATCTTCACATCTTTAATTCAGCATTGCATTGCTGCATGAAGTGCTAACCTCTTAAACTCTGCCAAATAGTTTCAACAGAAGAGCACTAGTAACCTGGCTGATTAGTTTTACAGCATGAGTGCCCATGATACATAATAATAATTCTGAATTAAGAATGATCCCAAGTCAGGTTTTAAGAACAGTTCTGGGAATAAGAGCAGTTGCACAGAATATTTATGTTGTTATTTTCCCATATTAATTCAGTAGGAACAAGGGATGGTCAAGCTCCAAAAATGACAAAACAATGACACCATAAAGCATGATTAAAGTAAATAATATTCTCTGCAACAGCTGCTTTTTATTTATATTTAAATATGTTGCATCGGTTTTGACATCAGTGATGCCAAATGTCATTGGTTCGACCTGCCAAATTTAAACATCATGAGGGTGAGAAAATGCTGACAATTTTAATTTTTGTGCAGACTATCCCTTTAAATGCATAAGTAACATTTCATTGAGCAAACCTTGTGAAAATTATAAACTTGTGTTTTACTCTATTCCTGTCCTTTGTTTGTCATCTATTTTCTTATATAATATATCAGCAGGATCAGCAAGGCAGGGAACAGAGACCTGGAGAAGCAAAACAATGGAAGATTCAAGAGTTTTGGAGAGAAAGGGAGAAAGAAAAAGACATGGAATCTGAGATGGAACAGACAAGGGAGAAGAAGAGAGAAAAAGAGATGCTGCATGACGGAGAAAGAGACATGGAGCTGCTGAAAGACAAGGAGAGGCAAAGACTTGATCAACAGCACAGCTCAAATGAGAAGAACTCAAAGGGAAACAGAGGTAAGAAAGTAACTGGTCATAGATGCCAATCTGTTGTCTCAGTTAAAGACAAATGGAAATACTGTTAGCTAAAATTATAGTTAAAATAATATAGCTAAAAACAGCTATATGTCTTGTACAGACATATAGGGTGGATGTTTGCCAAATATTTTATCTACACTACAGTTCAAGTTTCTTATGCTCATCAAGACTTCATATATTTAATCAAAAAGACAGTAAAAACAGTAATATTGTGAAATATTATTACAATTCAAAATGACTATTTGTGACCCTGGATCACAAAACCAGTCATAAGGGTCAATTATTTTAAATTGAGATTTATACATCATATGAAAGCTGAATATATAAGCTTTCCATTGATGTATGGTTTGTTAGGACAATATTTGGCTGAGATACAACTATTTGAAAATCTGGAATCTTGAGGGTGCAAAAAAATCAAAATACTGAGAAAATCACCTTTAAAGTTGTCCAAATGAAGTTCTTGGCAATGCATACTACTAATCAAAAATGTAGTAAAGGTTTTGATACATTTACAGTAGGAAATTTACAAAATATCTTCATGGAACATGATCTTTACTTAATAACCTAATGATTTTTTGCATAAAAGAAAAATCGATCATTTTGACCCATACAATGTATTTTTGGCTATTGCTACAAATATACCTGTGCTACTTAAGACTGGTTTTGTGGTCCAGGGTCACATTTTATATTTTAGTATATTTTAAATATGTAAATGTTATTTATTCCTGTGATGGATGTCATTTCTTAATATCATCGATGTTAAAAACAGCTGTGCTTCTTCATATTTTTATAGAAACAATGATACATTTTTCCAGGATTCCTTGATGAATATACATTGCAAACAAAAAGTTTATAAAATAATAAATAATAATTACATAATAATTTACAATTTTTGTGTCAATAAAAGTTGCTTGTTGATGAATAAAAATATTAATTTCTATGGAAGAAAAATATCGACAAATGTCTTCGAAACAAAAAAGCATGTTGAATTGCACTAACTAAAAAAATAATGCATTGCATTAACAGTGCTTGCATTTTCATGCCTTTTATTTTCAGGGTTTGCATTTTTAGGGTCTGAAATTTAACATAGTTGTTTATTTAAGCTGTGAATATTTCAAAACATTTCACACACAGGTTCATAATTAAAAATTAAATAATTAATATTTAACTTCCAGAGTTCACTTCCGAAATATTCAATCTGTTTAAAAATACGATGTATAATATTTGACAGGCAATTTTCAGTCCATTTTATTTCACTTTACAAATTCGCTTCCACAAATTCAGTGGTTCAAATTCAGCAGAAAATTCAGCATTGCACATCCGGGAGCTGAGGGAATAGCAGTAGAGCACTGGTGCATGATCTCCCGC